GAAAATGAAAATTTGTTAAATAATATTAATAAACCAACTACGGCGATGAATTCTGAAACCTCCACACCATCCACTACTGTTACACATATAACTGATGTTAATAGTTGGTCATCCGATCCAGCTTTATGGCCGAACAAAAAAAATCAAGTTGTACAATACTGGATACATAGAAGTAGATTAACTTCCAACCAAAATTTAAATAATGATTTTACCGCTTCTAGCCGTGTACTAACACGATAATAAAACTAGAACTTGTTCCCCAAATTTTTTTTTATTTCACTACAAAAAATGGGGAAACTGTAAATAGAAAGTGGCTTATATATTCTCCATCAACTGAGAATATATTTTGTTTTTATTGTATTCTTTTTGGGAATCCTCAGGACAAGTTTAGTTCTGGATATAGTGACTGGCCTCACGGACAAAGAGATATTAATAAACACGAACGAAGTGTTATTCATTTAGAATCACTTAGAATATGGATATCACGTACCTGTACATCAAAGACGTTGACAATAGATTCACAGCATAAATTATTAATGGAGCAACAGATATTTTACTGGCGAGAAGTTTTACGTAGAGTATTTGAAACGTTAAGATATCTTTGTGGAAGAGGTCTCGCATTAAGAGGTGATAGTGAAAATTTCGGCGATGAGCAAAATGGAAATTTTTTAGTTACTCTTGAGTACTTATCAAAATTTGACCCATTTATAGCTAAACATTTAAATGAAAATTCAAATAAAGGTAGAGGTAAAAAATCTTATTTATCTTCAACGATTTATGAAGAATGTGTTTTAATAATGGGAAATAAGCTTTTGAAGATGATAACAAAAGAAGTAAAATGTGCTAAATATTTTTCTATAGTTGTTGACTCATCTCGTGACACTTCTCATATTGATCAACTAGCTATTATTTTACGATACGTCAAGATATATGATTCCGTAGAAGTTCATGAACGTTTCTTATGTGTTGAACCTGCTGTTGGTCATTTTGGAAAAAAATATTGCTCAAGCTATTTTGAAAAAACTTGAAGAACTTGATTTGAATATATTGGATGCAAGGGGCCAATCGTATGACAATGCTTCAAATATGTCTGGGAAGTTTGAAGGAGTACAGGTGCATTTGAAGAAGTCTAATAAGTATATGGATTTTATTCCATGTACTGCACATTCGTTAAATTTAGTTGGAAACAATGCAGTTGACAATTGTTCAGCTGCATCCGTATTTTTTGAGTTTGTTCAACATTTATATACATTTTGTTCAGCCTCTACATATCGATGGGAAACAATTTGTGGTGATTTAAAAAGAATTGATGGGAGAACTGTAGTCTTAAAGAGTTTGAGTGAAACACGATGGTCATCTAGAGCACACTCTACTAAAGTACTTTGTGAGAATTATAATATCATACTTAATCGTTTAAAATATTTAAGTGAAAATACGGAAATAAAAAAAAGATGCACGAAACGAAGCACAAAATATAATTAACAAAATGACATTACTTGATATTGCTTTCATGACAGTACTATGGAACAGAATTTTAGAAAGATTTGACAAAACTAGTGTTAAATTACAAGAGAAGTCACTTGATTTATCAGTCGCTGTTAAGCTTTTAAAATTTTTACGGGAGTATATTGGTTCAATAAGAAACAATTTCAATGATATAGAAAAAGTGGCATTATCTCTTTCTAAAGTTATTTCTAAAAAGTATAATACTGAAAAAAAAAAGAAAAATAATTCGTAAATTAACTCCAGATGAAATGATTCGAAACGAAGAAGAGACCACTTTTTCTGGGCAGGAGAAGTTTAGAGTTGAAACATTTATAGTTATAATGGACAAATTAGATATATGCCTGCTAAAAAGACTTGAACAATATAACGATTTAGATAGAAAGTTTGGATTTCTTACTTATTTTAAATCTATGACTGAGAAAGAAATCGTAGATATGGCAAAAAATCTTGGTAAAATATATCCAGACGACCTTGATTGTGACATTTTTTCCCGAAGAAATGATACATTTTACCAAATTAGTTGATGAGCAAGATGAAGAAGGAAAAAATTAAAATGCCATCAGCACTAAAATGTCTTCAAATTATACACGATAATTGACTCAATTCAGTGTTTCCTAATGTGGAAGTAGCGTATAGATTGTATTTATGTTGAAATTGAAAAATTGAAAAGAGTGAAGAACGAATTGAGGTCTACCATGAAAAATCCACGCTTGAACGCTTTATCATTAATGACCATTGAGAGGTCTCTACTTAAAGAAATAAATACAAATGAAATAATTGTGGAGTTTCAAAAAAAGAAAAGAAAATAAGGTACCTAATAAAGTTAATTTTAAAATATTTATTTTTATTTTGACATTTAAACAATAATGTTGTATATTTGTATGTAACGAAAATTAACTAATATTTAAAGATTAAAAAAGATATATCTGTACCTACAATCAATTAATTTATATCATTTTTTTAAAGAAATAAAATTCAGTTATTGGTAATTAATAGTGTATGAATTAAGGGCCCTTTGGACTACTGGGTTCCAGGCCCGGTAAACTCTAAATCCGGTCCAGCCTACATTTGTTTAAATTATACTGTAATTAAGTTTGCAATTTGGTGAAATACCATAAAATACGGTCGATGGATGGGGGGGTGTTCCAATACCCATACACCATACCTCCCCTAAATAACCCCTGTTTATATAACAGAACAATATATCAGGGGCATCATTTGGGGGGGGGCAGGAGTATGCATTTGCCCGACCCTAGATTTTAAAGTAGCCAAATGGGCCGGTGTCCGGGTTTTCTATAATAATCAATATAATCTTAAATCTACTGACTATTCTAGAATATACTACATAATATAAAAATAGAAATTTGTGGTATATCATAATAATATATTAATTAATACGTTATTATTATTATTATTTATTATTCTATTCTATGGAACTATATTCGTTATCTCAACGATAAAGTTAGTTTAAAAACCACGATAAAAAGATCAGCTATTGACGTCGTGGACCGTGGTAACCAGTATAATGTAATGTAACTATGACAGAGATATGACTGATAAGAGCATAGCACTGTAAATGTTCGTTACCAATAACATTTTTTAAAATGACCAACGAATTTTGAATTTTTCATTTTGAATTTGATTTGACTTAGTGTGTACTGTGTACAAAATAAAAATTTGGCTAGCTAGCGAGCGGAGCGAGCGCCTTTTTTTTATATACAATTAAAAGTGTTAGTTATAGGGCCAGTCATTATTATGCCCTACCCTATCAAATATTGAAATGACGCCCCTGCAATATATACCTACCTATTTCAATTAAAGCATTATAATACATCTATAGTGCTCTATTTCAATATGCGGAACGATTCTAGTTTAGCAACCTATCGATTTTTAAAATTTTTTTTTTTTCCAAAATGTGTGTTTTAGGGTGCTTTATAAGAATGTAAAAAAAAAAGCCCGGACAAACTTAGTTTTGAAGTTATTGATCAAAAACTTCAAAAACTTCATTTTTTCGTTACGCGCATTTTTAGTTACAGGTATTAAAAGTTGCCTTATTTATGAAAAAATGTAATACAGGTAATACAGGTAAACAGGTAGTTACAATTTTATACGAGAAAACAACGACCCGTTTCGCGTTCAACTCCACCAAATACCCACTGGCCTTCA